AAGCGACGCGCGGCTAACGCAAGAAGAAAGAATAAATTAATCGATCGTAAAGAATAAATTAGTCGATCGTGTATTTTTAAGTAAAACTTGGGTATAAGGTAAATGTACCAATGCTGGGGGACACTTGAGATCCATGTCTGAACACCTTTATCATTTCAGTTTTTAAATATAAGTATAACACAAATTAAAATCAAAGATATAAAAATATAATACAAAAAAAATATTTTTATCTTTAATTTTTTGATTTTAATTCGCGTTATAACTTATTATTTAAGGACTAAAATGATAAAAATATCCAGACACAGGTACGTGTCCAGGCATTGTACATTTACCTTAAAACCTGGGTATAAAACGGTTCGTACGAGTCGCCGTCGAAAGCTCGAAGCGCGCGGACTATGCGGATGGCAGGAAAATGATTATGAATTATGGCAGCGCAACGGCGCGGCGGCGGCGCGGCGGCGGCGACCGGCGCGACCCGCTCAAAGTCGGTTTCTACATTTACGGCGTAATTAATGACGCTTATTACAGTCGATGTGTTTATAAGCTCCGCCGGATTTACGGGGCGATAGGTCAGCTTATTTGGAACGCCCGGCGCATACGAGCCAAGAATTGATCGAGCCCCAGCGTCTAACACCCCAAGAGCATTAAAACAATGGCAACAACGGAGACGAGGAAATTGAATTAAACATTCAAGAAAGATCGATCTGACCTCGTTGCGATATTATGCCGGATTAAACGTCTTATCGCGTCATAATTAATTATCACGAATTTTCAGTCGGTTACCAAGAAAATCGTAAAACGTTGGTTGAGTATTCACGCGAACGGCTACTAACTCAAAATTATTGAAATAAAATATCTCATATAATTCATTTTCGAAACTGCACAAGTCTTATTCTCGGTTACGTAACAGCTTTTCCCTGCAAGAAACTTTATCGGCTTTAAAACGGTCGCAAGTATTCTATTTTCTTCAATTTTGAAAGCTTCTTTAAGTGCGTTCATGTGTCACATCTAAGAAACGTCGTAGACAAGGTGGGCTAGACAAAAAAATATTCTGGCACACGGAAGTGTTTGGGAAGCATGACGCCACTCTTGAAGATTACGACTCAAAGATATCTCACGGTCTCTTTAAAGGGGGGGAGGGAGGGCTCGAGATAAAACGACCTGTAGGAAGAGGCTCCAACCGGTATCCCATCGAGTTACGAGTACAGACTACAGGTGAAGTCGGGAGCGCGTAATCGACGGTGCGTAAACCCGGCAGAGAAACCGACCGGCCGGCCGACCGATGTGGACTTGGATTCTTCTAAAAATAATACTTACCCGTCGCGAGACGCGCGTCTAAACCAGAGGAACGCAAACGCCGCGCCGCTGCCGACTAAACATGCCGAGCAAACGAACGAACGAACGAACGAAACGAACAAACGAACGGATAAACGAACGAATGGACGTGAACCTTTCGAACTTGCGGATAGAGTTCAGAGACGAATTTATTATGCGAATTGGCTTCCCCGGGGTCAAAGGTATCATGATAGCCTGCTTTTTTAGGCTGCACTTTATAAGCCTGCTGTATGCATGCGAAATCAAATCAATGTATATTCAAACTTTGAATGAGAAAAAAGGGGAAAGGGCAAACCTTGCGGGACGAGGTAGTTAAAAATATATTAGATTTATTGTGTAAATTTATTGCAACGTTGTTTTACACGTGCAAAGAGGTATGTCGATTTTCGTGTCGTTCAATCGAAAATGGAAAGAGGAAAGTTGGTACGTGTAAGGAGAACGAAGGGAGAGACGGAAGGAAAAAGGAAACCGAGAGAAATCTGTTTATTGTAAGGGAAAAGAAGTGAGTAAATACTTACGCGCCTTAGGAATGCGAAACCATGCATGGGCAACTGACTCAACCGTTATTTTAAATGTAAATACTATGTCGGCTGTTTTATCTGAATGAGTTCGGTTATCAGCTCGCAAACTTGTGTATGTAAAGTAAGACGAAAACGTGCGGTGATATCTCACGAGAGAAAAAATATATCTTAACTCGGGCTGCTCTTCTCCTCTCTCGCGATACGCCACAAGCGTTTTAAGCTGAGGAACGCGAAACGGACACCGATCGTGGACAAAGTAATAAAACAGCAATTTGAGTTTCAGATTTCTACATCCTTGCAGTGTACCAGTATACTTCAAACCTGACCTCCATCTCTTCACTCGAGAATTTCCTTCTTATTTTAATATCCAACGAAAAAAAAAACGAAAAAGAAAATGACGGATAAATGGTGGAAAATCTGCAGAGAAACGAGACTACGCTGAGAAAAAAAATATTTAGATCTAAAAAAATATTTATTTAGATTGCTGCCAAGAGCTTATTTAGTTAATATAATACACATATTTATTTAGAATTAAATATTTTTATTTACATTTAGTAAAAATATCTAATCCCCTAAATAAATATGTGTATTATATTAAGTAAATAGGCTCTTGGCAACAATCTAAATAAATATATTTTTTATTTAAATATTTTTTTCTCAGTGTATAAATCGTAAATTCACGAGTCTAAAATATTCTATTTAAATATTCTACATTCGCACTTATGGGGAGTGTATCGTCGGGATATAGAGGTCGCGAAAAATATGTCGAACAAACTCGTACGAGAGCGTGAGATTTCGCACGGGGACAGATACGGAAGCTGGGGCGCGTGGCGTGGCGTCGCGCCGGAAGTCGTTGCTACCGGTCGTCTCGTGGCGTGGCCGCGTATCGAGGGACAATAACGCGGTTATCCGAGGCGGGAACCAGAGGACTTTCTACATAGAGACACGACGGAGAGGTTTAGTATACCACCGGCGAGGCACCGTTAGGACACTAAACTTTTATTGCGACCCGTTTTCCCTCGCGCTGCTGCCAGGATATCGGCATCACCTTAACCCGCGAGACCAACAAACGACGGGCCGTTAATCGGAAACTCTCGAGAGAGACGCGCGGCTCCTCCGCCGTTTAATCATCCGTCGATTTTTCTACGACCGGCAAACGCGCGAGATCTTCGAACGAGGCGAGAAAGTCGCCGTTAACTCTCATCGCGGAGTAATCCGACTTCGGAAAAACGAGCGCGTTCGATTTTTTTTTCTTCTATTTCATTCTAGAAATTGTATTAACTGAATAATCGTACTGAATTATTGTGTTATTAATCGCGAGTCATGTTTGGAAACACGATACTTGGGCGACATAAGATAAAAATGCACTTATCTCTGTTTTTAATAACAGGAGCATTGGCATTCGTATATAAAGACAGTAGTTATAGACGATTATTAAAAAGTGCATTATTTAATACGCGATATGGAGTCGATGCTGGAAATGCCAGTGTCACTCCACGGCACTGTTAGAAAGGAAATATCTAACGTGAGATGTAAAGGCCTGAATACAATAGAAAGGTACAGACAACGGGGAATAAGACAGGCAACAGAAATACCTACGTTTCAACTTACCGAAAACTGTGTGTATCAACGCAATGAAATATGAAATGTGCAATAGAAACAGAATTTCCGACGCGTTGGATTTCTATTGCCTGTAGTACTTGACCAATTGCAGTGATTCAGTTTTATTAGTTGAAATGTGGTTATTTGCGTTGCCTGTTTTATTCCCTGTTGCTATTGTCTGTACCTTTGCATTGTGTCGCCTTAATCCTCAAAACACATTCGAGGCCTGTTCTTTTCAGCTAAACTTCTCTCGCACGGTTCGTCTTTTCTCTTTTTTTCTCCGCAACGTGAAGGAAGTTTAACTGAAAAGAACAGGCCTTCGATACGCTCTTAAGAAGTTTTGAGATATCGACGAATTCTCGAGCGAACCCTAGAGCCCTGCCTAAATCGCACGACAAATAACGCAAATTTCAAGAACGCAAGTCAAGATGCAAGCCTACGATTATATCACGGACGAACGTAAGAGGCTCAGCGTTATTCGATCGTATTTCCCCGTATTGCAGAGGCACGGCTATTGTTTATAGTTGGCCAACACGCGTTAATCAGCGAGCGGCTGAAAACAGTGGGCGACGTGCTCGATATACCCGCGCGATGCACCAAAATAATCAGTCGCCTCGGCCCGACGGAAGCGTCGAAGAAGAAGCGGAGAGAAGAGAGATAAACGAGAGCGACCGGGGAGAAAGAGAGAGACGAGAGATAGCAGGCCTCTCGACGCACCTATCAACACGCGCGGCGCGCACACACACGCACACATGCATATGCGGAGAAGGAAGAGAGAAAGAGAGAGAGAGACGGAGGGAGAGATCGAACGAACGAACGAACGAACGGCCGGCCAGCAGCAGCAACAGCAGACACGGCCGTCGGTCGCGTAACCGCGGTACAACGACCCCCGTCGAGGCTCTCCTCCGCTCGTCGGGCTCCGGCTTCGCGCCAATTACCGAGAACGCTCTTCTCCTCGGGGCGGGAAATCGGAATCGCGACGAAAGCGGAATCGAGTTGGAATCGAGAGCGAGTCTCGCGATTTACGACGACGAGCGCGCAAGTGCCGAGGAAGCGCTCGGCTCGCTGCGCGGAACGTGCCGGAGCGGAGCGGAGCGGAGAGGAGAGGAGAGGAGAGAAAAAAGTGCATCGTTCGCGGAACGCACGGCCTATACGTGTTGTTATTGCGATCGCGCCTTCGCGCGCGGCTCGCGGAGTTTTGTTTACAAATCTCGCCGTGCGCGCTCGCTTTCTCGCTATTACGGCCCTTTTTTTTCTTTCGCGTCGAGGCGGAATTCGTCGCGCGCTCCGATATGGAGATTACGCGCGCCGCGTTGAGAGTTTCCGGGGTACGCGGCGAATACATTATTCATTCGTATGATCGGCGATTCGGAATCGCGGATTCGTACGTTCCCGATTCGTGAGAATCTATTAGACCTACCATGCCCTCCCTCTGCTTCTCTCTCTCTCTTCCTCTCCCTCTTGCTCCCTCTCGCGCCGTCCATCCCTCCCTCTCTCTCTCTCTCTCTCGCCTTTCTTCTTTCTATCGTCTCGCTCACTCACCTGTCAGAGCTCTCGGAGCTGTCGTATCGATCGGCGCACCGCTTCTTGCCGCAGGGCCCGACGAGGGTGTCCTCGGCCATCCTAACCTGTCCCTTGAACGGGCTGGTGGCCTGGTGCCGCGCTACGGCGACGCCGCTGCCGTCGTCCGTCTTGGCAGACGCGGCCGCGGCCGCGGCCGCGTCCTCGGCCCCCCTCGCCTGCTGCTCCTCCCGCTCCGCCATCTCCTCCCTCGTCGCAACGACGATGACGCTCGCTCGGCGCCTGCCCCCGGCCCCGTCGCGATCCCCGCGGTCGTTCACTTCCGGTGCACTGTCCGCGCTCGGCGCCGAGCGTCGCGGCGGCGACGACGCGGTGTCGTCGGCCGCCCCGTCGGCGTCCTCGACACCGACGCGCCTCGCCGCGTTATTATTATTATTATTACCACCGGATTTCATGATTTTCTCCGCGACACCACCAGCACCACTTTGCCTACTATTAATACTATTACTACTGCCAGCACTACTATCAGCGTCGCAGTCACTATCGACGCTGTCGACGCTATCGACGCTATCGGCGCTGCCGCTGCCGCTGCCGTCGTCCTCCGCCACGACGCTTCGGACTACCTCGATTCTAACATCGCCGTGGTACAGACCGACACTGCCACTGCCACTGCCGTTGCCGTCGGCGCCGACGCCGACGCCGACACCGACGCCGTTCTCCTCCTCCGCCTCTTCCTCCTCCTCCTCGTCGTCGTTTTCGTCGCCGCCGGGCGACGGCGAAGAATCACCACCACTGCCGCGGTCGTCACTGACGCGCTCGTTGCCGTTGTCGTGATGATTCGTGGGATGACGGTAATGAGAGTTGAAGTGGTGGTGGTGATGATAAGGCGATGGATGACGGTGGGAAGAGTGTCGAGGATGATAAGGATGCTGAGGATGCTGATGATGACGGGGATGAAGAACCCGGCGCTCGTAGTGCGAACACTCCGTCTCGGCCGCCGAAGACGCGGCAGAGGCGTTAGAGGCGTCCTCGTGTCCGCCGGAGACGGAGACGCGCTTCGCGAATGAGAATGGGATGGTGGCGTCCTGGCCCGTGCCCGCACTGCCCGCCGGAGTGACGCTCGGCGCGGTGGCGTCCGCGCGTTTGTGCCGCTCCCTTGTCACGCGAGAATCACCGTCCCCCAGTCCCAGTCCCAGTCCCGTCACCACCGCCGCGGTCGCGTCCACCGCCGCGGACGGACCGTCGTCTGCCATCTTGTAAACGAACGCGCGCGCTCTCCCTGTGATCGTGTCGTGTCGTGTCGGTGTCCGGCAGTGGTCCCTATGGCACACACGAGCGGCACCGGGCCGCGCCACGAGCTGCTCTCCCTCGCTTCTCGCTCGCGCTGCTCGCGCTGCTACGCTACGATCCGGCAGCGCGCACACCGCACCACGCACAGTTCCTGCCTCTCCTGCTCCTGCCTGCCTCCTGCCTGCCCTCACGGCTGACTCGGCTCCGCTCGGCTCCGCTCGCACGCCCTCGGCCCTCGCCTCGCCTCCGCTACGAGCCCCTGCCACTGCCCCTCTCGAAACCACCACTCCTCCGCCTAACCTGGAGTAACGGGGCCTAACCAATACGGAGTACGGACGCCTCTCGCCTCTCGCCCCGCTGCCGTACCGGCCGCCCGGCCGACCCACGTGATCTCGATTTTACCCGAGCGCGGCCGAGCGCGCCCGACGCTTGCGCGCGCGCGGCGTTTAATTTGAAAGAGCGATATTCAAAATGGCTGACGTATTTTGATCAATTATAATCAGCTTGACGTTTCGACCATGGATTTTGATCCTATTCAATCGATGTAAAAACTTTAAATTATATCCTAATAAAGATTTAATTATGCAATATAGGTTTTTGATAACTATATTATTTAATTGAAAAGATAAAAAGTTTTGCTTCTTGTAACTTCCTATTGCAACTTACACTAGTTATCTCGATGTGGATTTAACCCTTTGACTGCCATACTATTTTCCTCGAGTGGTCCCAAAAACGAAAGATTCTTGAAAATTAATGAAAGTTTATGTAGAGGGATTTTTAATGATGCTGATTTTTCTAACCAATAATAAATAAATTGGTTTAAAAAGTGATTGGTTACTGGCGATTATAATGGCCAGTAGAGTCGATTAATATTTCCATTTTTGTTTATTATTTGACTGCCGAAATAAAAGTGATTTATTCTGTTTAAAATTATGTTAAGCACACCCAATTTCTCTTAAATATACTTTGTTCAGTCATTAATTTTATTGTAAAATTTTAATATAACAAAACTGTTGGGAGAAGACTTTGAACGAGCAATAAATTCCCGCCCTTCTAGAGGGCAGCTCCCGGTTGGCGGCGCGACTTGGCGCGCCACGCGTGCGTGCGGGCGTCAGTGGTGCTCACAAGAGCCTCGATCACCGTCGTGTTCAGACGTGTTAGTTACGGTTTAAGTTACAGAGTGTGATATACTTATATATAATAAAGACAGTATTCAGAGTGTATAAAGATCAACATTGTTGTGTTCCCTGCCCATCTCACCACATTTCAAGTCGTCCCTGATTATATTTCCAATAAAAACATCTCATGACGAAAATATTCGAAAATTTTATCTTTTTAATAACTGTATCTTTTTTTTAGGCAACATTTTGCAAATCAGAAGACTCAGAAATCGTGCAAAATTTAGCACACCCAAAAATTCCTACACTGCAGCTTGCTTTAGTAAATTAAATCACTTCAAAATATTTCATGACGAAATAATGCATTTTTGTGACGGTAAACGTAAAATACAAAATAATGAGAATTCTTATCATCTAAGATACGATTACGCAATAATATATTGGAGATTTCGTGACGATGATTTACCGAGTCAGATCTCCGAATTTGAACACAGCGAGCTAAAGATTAACGTACAGTTAACGACATCTCCCGACGCTGCCGAGAAACACGTCGGTCGCAATATTTGAATTGTTCCTTTGTAATAGTAATATTTATTATATTTAATTAAAGAAATTGTCGTAATTAATTCGTTATTTTGATTGTATGTAACATTTATTATAACATTACGAAATTTATTTCTAACACTATATTAAACACTATTACTACAACAATATTATTATTGCCTCAATCGTTTCCATGTTTCATGATCGTCACGACATTAAACTAACCGATAAAATTTGAATGGCGATCCAGCTGCGCAGTCACGTTTGAGCCGTCCCGTGCTTCTCGCTAGTGTTATCGTCTAAAAATAAACTCCGCGTGCGACGAATTATATCTCGTAAAGTGTATCAATGCTTTAGTTTTGTGTGTGCCTGGCGTCAGTACTTTTCGTCTGTTAATTTCTCGCGTCGAAGCTGTTGCGTCGAAACTGCAAACGATGGACAACGGTCATCCTTATGTAAGTACATGCATCGTTTTGTAATTAATTACATTTATTTTCAATATTTGCGGGAACATTTCGCATTTAATTTCTGCATTAATTTTGCTCAATCACGCTTTCTCCTTTCTCACGAATATAATCGACAGCGTCGTATGAGCTCGTGCGGTTCTACGTCGGATTTTTCATAAATCAACGTTGAAATTAAAACTTTAAGTTACAGAAAATTAATATCGCGCGAAAGTAATATCGGAAAGCGTTAATTGAGAAAAAATCGAGTTAGCGTTGTGTTATACATCAGAGATACAGGTTTATCGCGCCATTTATTATAGTGGGGCAGAATCCCAAAAAAGCTGGCCAAAACCCAAATTCTTTATAAATCGATCTAAAATTTGTTATTATTCGGGGGTTTTTGGGGTCGCTGATTACGAATCCGGGGTCAAAATTACAAAATTCAAAATGGCGGCTGCAATATGGCCATATTTAAAAGTAAAAAAAATTTCAATGTGAAGAATAATTATTAGTTTTTGATAAAATTTGTTATACTAATATCCCTGCCTATATTTATTTTAAAGAAACTTTCCTTGAAAGAAAGAAAAAGACAGTAGACGAGTTAAGCTATTGAGAAAAATTAAAAAAATTAAATTTATTAATAGCGCGCGCGAAGCGAGCGTACAATACCACTAAATATATAAAATAGTAAATATATAAAAATGACAGATAAATTAAAATAAAAAATTATCATCATCAGATGAAAAATCTTCATTTGTATCATCCGTCGAATCTTCCGAAGTTGAAACAATTTTTTCTTTATCCGCAATTTTTCCATGTCTTACAGTTGGAGGTAATAATAATTGCATCTGACGACAGTGATCTAAGTTGTTTCAAAGATAGTTGCCGACAACTCGATAGATATGGATCTGATGATACTAGAAATCTTGAAAAAATATCGTCCATAGTCTTTGTCCTTGAGTATTTGCGCGAAAAATCTTCACGAAATATTTTGAAGTATTTGTGACAAGACTCTTGGGCATCTTCAGACATTTGACCAATGGTAACAATGAAGAAGCTATTATTTCAGTACCATGAATAAGAAGTTTGTGTACTGAGGGAGGCATATAATACCAAGGATATAATTGTACAAATTGACGAGCTGTTTCCAATGTATATTGTTTAAATCCTTCTTGGTTAATAACATGACCTGATGAAATAACTTGTAATATAATGTAAAAGCGATGAATAATGTTTTCTTCTACTCCTGTTATAGCTGCAGAAATACGTGAATTTTCGAAAAATCGTCGAGCAGTGTTGCCATCATTTGTACTTCCATATTCAGGCTTTGGCTTATCAACTATTAATCCTAATTCTTTTTTAAAATGTTTTTGAATGTTTTCTTTTCTTGTCTCAACCGATTTTTTTTCATGACATTTGCGAGTCTGCCATTTTTTTATTTTTAATTTATAAGATAGATGTAAACAGCATTCAAAGCAACGAATCCAAGCATGTAGTGATGATAAACCGAATTCAAAACTTTTTTCATTAATTGGCTTACTTAAAATTAAATCTATATTTTATTAAAATCTTTGGATGTTGCTTGACATAGATAACAACGTTGCGTAGAAGAATTACTTGTCAATGCATTGCATACTTTGCCATCAATCATTGTCAAGGCAAGTTGATATGTTACAGATATCTTTTTTCCATCTTGATATGTTTCAAAAGGAACAAGTTCATCTATTTGTTTTTTTATATAATCTGTCTCTTGTATTGTAATTTCTGTAGTCTCATGTAAAAATTGAATTCTGATTGGTCTGCAGAATCTTGGAGAAGAAGGTCTTGGATTTTTCCAAATAACAGTTGTTTTATTCGTCACTTTATCTGTATGTATGAATTGCAGTGGCACAATAGAAGTGAATAAAATACTTTTATCTGTATTTCTTTCACTATCAATAAATTTTTGTTTATATCTACTGTGCCCAGAATTGCCATTGCAACCCCATTTACAAATTAAAGATAAATTTTCACGTTGTTGATCGGTTAAACATTTAATTACATCCAACTGAGTAAGTAAAATACGACTAATCGTGTGATCTAGTAAAGGTTGTACTTGCATTTCTGCACTAGTTTGAGTTAAAATTATTTCTGCTTTAGGATAACAATTTTTTTTAGACTTTAATATTTCTTTGTATGATGGAAAAAGTTTGGATCTCTTTCGCAAGCAAGCATTTCGTAATAGTTGATATTTATTTCTTGAAAATTTAAGTTCAACAAATAAAGAAAGAGCCTCATCAGGAGTAAAATTATCTTCTTCAAAATACTGAAAATTTTTTTGATACCTTTTTGCTTTACTTGGACTGCTCGATGTCACATGCTTTAATATTTTTGCTGCATCTACTTTTCCTTCTGCTCGCAAATTCATTTGGGCTGCGTAAGAAACCTCTTCACTCTTCAGTACTTGATTGTGTACGCAAATTTTCTGTCTTTCTTCGTTTACTTCTCTCACTAGAATCTTCAAAACTTGTTGATGGTCGACCTCCTATATCGGTTTCCTTATTTTCTTCTTTGAGTCCAAATGAAATAAATACTCCTAACCATTCGTCATAGGTTTTAAAAAAGATAGATTTCGTTCTCTTACTTTTCTGCCACTTGTCTTTTAAATCAAAAATTAATTTCCGTATTGGTTGTTTAGCGTGGTCAGGTAAATTATACGGATGTTGTAATTTGCAAGACATTAATTCTTCAATTTTTGCGTATGCTTCTGTAGCACTTGTACTTAAATTATTTTTTATTAAATTAAAAACTTCTTTTCTTGTCAGACCATTTTCATCAGGCATTTTTGAATTGGGACCTAAAAAAAAGTTTTTGTTTAATACATAAATTAGTTACACTTTAATTAAATTAATAGTCATTTTTATTTCAAGTTTTCAAAAAATTATCATATAAAATGAATTAGTAAATAATAATGATTATTTAATGTACTAATCATTATAAGTTTGAATTATATTAATATAATAAAATTTGTATTTAATTTTTATACAACAAATTTGAAGCACTGTATATAAATACATATAACATATAAATTTACTCGAATAAAGTACAGGCTTACATCCCGCGCATGGAATTTAGGCATTTAGGAAATTTGAGTTTTAAAAAGAAATGTTTGCATGTAAATTCTAAATCACCTTATATATACATCATATACGTTCAAAAAAAGTTGAAACAATTATCCAAGTAAACGAAAAAATTATTTATACCTCTTTTAGTTACGCCAAAATAACATTTTCTGTTTTCTTTTTTACAAAAACCTGCATAAAAACTCGTTAGGCACTTAAAAGCAGCTGAATTTTATTTTATTTTATAGATAATAGTTTCACCTTTCATGTCCAATATGTTAGATGACAGAATTCTGCAGAATTATTAAACTTTTTTCTTCAAAACTAAATTTTTTTTTAGTTTTATAACGTTAAATTAACGTAAGTTTATTACCTTATTACTATTTTCTATAAAAATATTGAGTATTCTAACAAACACAATTGTATTCTACTTACTTTCACGAGTTGATTCCATTTTGTTAAAGTTAAATCGGTAAACTCTACGAAATTTTATAACTCTTCAAATACGAGCTTGCTTTTTCTCCTGCGTGCGCCCCAGATGTTGCTCGAGCGAAGGTCGCCTTTGTATTTATTTTTAAAAGCAGGTATAAGGGATCTGACTCTAAAGCCCCTTGCACAATGCCAGGCAACAGGCAATAGGAACAGGGAATAGAAATCAGAAATAATGTATAAATGCAGAATAAACAGTGACACAGGCAATAGACACAGAGTTTCCGTCACGTTGGAAATTTTGTGCCTATTGCCTGTTGCCAACCAATCATAGCATTCGAACTTTTTAGGTTGTAATTAACGATTTTTTGGTTATTTCCTGTTCCTATTGCCTGTTGTCTGGCACTGTGCAAGGGGCTTTATACTAACGGATTTTTACCCTTGGGATATTTCTCTAGCCAACCCAACAGTTCAAATTCCCCAACTAGAATATTGTTTATTTTTGGGGTTTTTGGCCAGCTTTTTGGGATTCTGCCCCGCGTTTGTGCGACAGTTTCAGCAAATGCGCTCCATGCGATCGTAGTTTAGTTTACACTCTCCTACAGTATATTTCTTATAAATCAATCGGATTAAATTTTCGAGATGTTTTAGTGAGCACTGGAAATGGTCCTTCAACATTTTACTTGCGTTTTACACGATAATCAAATAGCTCTTATCTTTCGTGTTATTTATTGTTTTTTTTTTTGCGTTTTTATTAGAAAATCTGTGTATTTATAAATATTGTATACATATATGGAATATTTAGCGTGGTACTCATCAGGATTTGGACTAAAAAGGATTGACGTATCATAAAATACAAGGAATCGGCGCCTAATATTCTGCTAAAATAGAAACAAATCGTATCTTATTAAAAATACTTTATTTCAATAATACTGCAAAACAAACGGTTCACGTAGCACCGTAACAAATCGTGTACATCGTGGAATGTTAATCGAAAATGACCAGCAGCAATCAAGTCGTTTAAGCGTACAGTAAGACACCGTGTGCAATGTTGAGATAAAACACAAAAGTTGAAGCTACGTAGAAAAAATAATAAAATACAAAATCTCTTAAGGTACGTATTACGTTTAAAGAATCTTTTTGTTTAAATAAATTTGAAGTTCTTCATTCAATTTCCAAAAACGAAGTATTCCTATTTCAAAATTGCTGTGATATGTAATATAGTTTAAGATAGTTTAATCGAATATCTTTGATTCAGCATTAAGGCTTGTAGCAATTATAGCACCTTTGCAGCAATCGCAGCATCAAAAAGTTTTTTTAATATAGCTTTTGCCTTATCTTTAAGTCTCTCGAAAGATTATGAAAATATCTTGTGCGTAGTTATTGTAGTCAAGATCAATTACATGTTCTTGTATTCAAACTATTATCTAAAAGAAAATTTTTTATTTTCTACAAATTGAAACGCCAAAATTTTTTCAGCTGGCTTTCGCGAAGAACTTTCGCACGACAGTACTGCTGCGTTATATATATATACATATACACATGTAAAAAATATTCTTATCAACTCTTTATAAACTCTTCGTTGTTAAAGCGAATATCAGAATGCTAAAACATTTCTAATCGCAAAATCTCGCAATTGATTTAAAACGAATAATATTATTCGCAATATAAAATCTGTATATATGTGTAACTTTATAATTGTTTCACAAGATATTGTTTCGTAAGCACATCGAAGACATGTAACAAATTTATCATAATAATGTATTGTCACACTATTTTCTTATACTTCGATCGAATATCTTGTTATTAAGGCTTAATCAGGTAAACTAACGTCGATGTAGGATCAACGTATTCTTTCTAAGTTTGATCGCCTTTGTCGCGTCTAGTTTCCATACTTAGTCGCGACGCGTCTGCTAATTCCGTCAACAGGAGAGTTTCCGACTCGGGAGGACTTTTTGGGGGGGATTCACTTTCGTTCAGAATATTAGCGCTTCGAGCGAGTCTACGGTTACGTCTCTGCTCCTTCCTCTCGACTTTCAATTTCGTAAATTCGCTATCGTTATTGTCGCTGGAGCACGAGGAGCTCGTGGTACTGGGCAAATCGTCGTTTATCCCGCTTCCGGTGTAACTCGGCGGTGGTAAGTCATAAGTGACGCTCGATCTCATCGATTGCATGGAGTCCTGTTTCCTGAGATTAAAGTAAATTTCATGAAAATCAAGATTATTCCTAAGATACCCTAATTATAATTAACACTAGTTAACACTGGAACTGCCGAAGATTAATCTATATTTATTTCTACCGAAGAAATCTTAGAAAAAAAAAGAAAAAAAGAGAAAGCAAATTAATACAATTAATTATTTATATGTAATTTCAATAAAAGTCAGGGAAAATTTCAGAATTTAAGATATTAAAAAAAAAATTATTAAAAATTGTTAAACGGGTCATTTTGATCCCCTTGATAGTTCTAGTGTTAAAATAAAATTTAATTTTCAAGTCACTATTCAAATTTGACTTTATGGAAATATATTGCTAGTGGAATTTCATTCTAATAAAATTTAGGGTTATGAAATTGATGAATTTTCAGGCAAACCATACTTGTGTCGTGTACACAGTCGCAAATTTTCCGATATAAGTTTACAACAATTATTGGAAATCGTTCAATCTTGTTCGAAAGTTGTTGATTTTGGACTTGTCGTTAAATTACCTTAAAATGTTCCGCCTTTCGCGAGCGGATTCCGTACTGCCAGCTACAGTTAAAGCTCCTCCGCGTGCGGGTGCACTCTTGGAGAAGTCACGCTTGTAAGATTGTGCGACACCAGGAACGTCGACGGGATTACTCGGCGGTGGCGGGCCTTGCGCAAATATACTTTGTACGTGAGGCCGGGTTTCGTTCGATTGTCTTAACGATGTCAGTGTCAGCTGCTCGTCCACTTCCTCGATGACGCCTATTCTCATGGAGCCACCTGCAACTATGACATTACCATTGTATTCCATTTTGTTCTCAATCAAATTGTTTTAACGCGACACTTAACGTTAAGCAACGTACCGGGTACAGGTGGTCGCGTCTGCAACGAAGCTGTTGAACCCACGCTCGGCATCTTTCCCGTGGCTTTTGTGGCACTCGTGGCACCTCCGTCAGGCCTATCATCCTTGCTAAACAGTCGCTTAAGTACATTGGCAACGCTGCTCACCCTCGAGAGCGACTCCCCCAAATTGCTGGGAGTAGAACCGCCACTGAGATTGCGATCTCGATTACTCACTCTGCTGGCGCTCCTAATTAGAAAATTAATAGAACTTAGAATCGTGAAGATAAGCTGTCGCTCACATCAATATTATAATATTATATATTACATACATTATATTATTTTTTGAAAATCCGATTTTATTATCTAATATTGTTAATATTATGATTACAATGTCTTTGTTATTAAGATGAAAATAATTATTATACTTAGAATTCTACAAAATTTTGGTCGCGAGATATGAATAGCTACCTTATTAGTCTCTCGGTGCTGTCTGTATCGCTTCTGAATTTGCGTTAAAAATAATTATGATATTAATAATAATAATGATGTGAATAAATTGACTTCATATTGAATTTAAATAAAAAATATTCAAGAAACTGAATAATCTGCGCTTACCGGGACAGCTTTCCACTCGCGGTGAAATGTATTCCCGATGCGGCGTCGTCGAAGATGTCGGAGCGGAATTTATGATCGGCATCCGGCATCATGTCGTCGATTTTGACCGATGACGGTTGCAGTTCTTGTTGCGCGGCGGACAATTGTATGTTGGCTGTTGAGGGTTCGGGGGGTTGCTCGCGGTAGAGTTGCGACGCGTTAGTGTACGGAAGTTCCGTGGGGAATATTTCATCCCAATATTGATCGCGTATAAGTTCAGGATGTTCGTGATGCATCTCGTCGACGATTAGGTAGCTTACCTTGAAAGCAAACAAATACACAGCATTATTATACCTGAATTGTAAGAGAAAACAAACAGCGAGAAAGTAGTTCTTACTTGCAAATTGCGATCGATTATCCAGTTTACTTCGAAATCGTCGTCGTCTTCGCCGAACGGATTGATTAACGTTTCGGCTACTTTCAGCCAACCCATATAGAAGAAGAATTGCAATGTCGCGAATACTGGAAAGTACAGATCGATGGTCGAGTTCGACTTTTGAATCCACTGACGACCCATTACGGTGGTCAAGAAATACGTATACACGGCTAATGTTACGACCTGTAGTAAAAATAAAATTTGAAATTCATATGCGGCAAACTTTGCGGCATTTATTAACCCTTTGCAGTCCTGCGTCGAGCTGGACTCGACTTAATACCTCCTTGTAGTTTGAGTACTTGTAATGTAGAACTCCAAGTACTCAAATCAGTATGGGATTAAATAAATTGCATTTTTGAAATCTTATTCATAAGTTCTTCTAAATAATAAAAATTCTTTCATTTTCGTCAATTGGATGAAATTAAAGAGACACTTAGTCCCCGCTTATGTGCGAGAAATGATTTGGACTGCAAAGGATTAAATATATGCTTATTACACTTAAATTTTATTCTCGACTTCTCGAGGTTTATGCTTATAGCATTCGTTTCGCAGTTATTAATTTAAGTAGCCTCCATATCTACCTGAGTGTACACTAACGGGATGCTGATCGTGTCGTAATGCGATATACTGCCGCACATCCCGCGGAACTTGTTGAGTTCGTCGATGAGAGTTTTCACCGCGAAGTCGTCACGTATTCGACCTTCCTTCCGGGCGCGGGTCACGATGCTCGAAGCCCAAACTATCGGCAACCAATGCTTACTCGGCTTCGGGAATTTCGCGTTTAGACTGTGAAATATCGCTAACTCATTCTCCAGCAACAAGCCGCTTTCCACGAAGTGCTCCATCGTGGGAAATCTCTTCTTTACGCGCGGCGCAACGTTCGTTAGGACCATAGTCAAACAGACGCACACGTATCTGAAAAAAACGGAATTTATAATTTATTTATTAGAAGAACCAAAATTTCACGTACAATACACATTTCGCATACATATAAAGTAAAACTCGCTACATAATACATAAAATTTGTGCGGAATAACTTAAAATTTGTTTCTGTGACATATAAAATTAAATATATTTAAAGAATATTTGTAATTAATTTAATATTTATACAACAAAAAATATATCTGTACCTTAAAAGTAAAGAATCGTATTTCCATTACTAGAAACATTGAGGGAAAACAGGATTTAAAATTTATTATTTCTATGAAAATTTCTAACACGACTTTTTCTAAACGTTATTGTACCTTAAAAACTAATAATAACGGACATAATATTTAATTATATAATTATTATAATTTACCCTGCCGATTGGAAAAAAAATTAACTCTAATTAATTTTGACAAAAACTGTACGATTATTTACCTCTAATAATAAGGAACATACAGATACATATATGCTTGGGAACACTGATTAATCGATCTTTTCCTCTTAAAAAAAAGAACAAGAGTTCACATTGCACATATCACATGTCTTTCTTTCCAACTTAAATCGCGTGCCCTGCGTATATCGTTGCAGCTTATATACACTATAACTTTACAGTGTACGAGATACCTAAGTATCGTTCGACGCATTAGACGACCACGCTCGTCGTTGCCGTGTATAGTGGCCGATACGAAGACCGCGATGGAATCGGGCCACGGTATTCCCATGTATTGATTCCACCACCTATTCATGACGATAGTGACATAGAAACCCAGGACAAATGACACCGGTATCAGATCGCTGTACTCGTTGCAGTACGCCACCACAGACTCGAATACCTTCTTCTGGTCTTCGTTCAACAGAAATCGGTAGATGCCGGACAGGCAGTAGTAGATGAAGAGGAAGAGCGTCAGATCGATCCAGACGAGTTTGTAAATGCTCGCCCGCCATCTGAAACAAATCGCGCGGCTCGTTAAATGAGAAGCAGACGCGCGTACAAACATCTGTCAAGAGCGATGATTGTCTCGTAATGAGCGATCTCGTCATCCGTTTTTGCCGAGTGGACAAAAATCCCGATGATAGTGCACTTTAAAATCGCGCTGATGAAAGTATTAAAATCAAAAGCGATAAAACGCGATAACACATTACTCGCGTGCTGTTATCGAACCGAAAGTCAATAATCCTGCCCCGTATCTGCGCTTAGTGAGGAACTATTGTTAGTTCCTTCCTCACTAACCAGCAGTGGCACTATGTTTGAGGTGCGTCAACTCTCGATGATGAGGAGTGCGTCGTGTTTTTATGCAAACAGGTTGGAAATAAATGTACGTCACCCGTTATTTGCAATTGGAAGTATTCCAACGTAATTCGCGGTACTATCGTCAGGGACGCGACTAACTTACGAATATCATTGACATTTACAAACCTACACCCACGTTTATTTTATTGGCCGCAAAATGATTATTAAAATGCGAAATCATTTATTGTTATTTATGTAACTTTATTTCTATTTCAATTGTGAAAAACAAAAAAAGTAGGTAAAAAAGGAAACAGATGTAGAAAAGTAAGTCCGTAAAATTAACGGTGACTAATAGTAATGACGTTACATCGAGAAATAAAAATGGAATTTCGGAAACTATTAAAATATGAACGTTATAGGAAAAATAGAAATAATAAAAATAAAATAAAAAAGATTAGGCAAATGAAAAAATCCACGCCAAAAAAATAGCTTGAAATTTTTAACAAATTATACGTTTTAGTTGACAATTATATAGATAAAATCTCACCTGATTAGCAATTTGAGGAAGCAACCGAGGCCCCTGCAAGTGGCTACCTCGGCAGTATAGCTGACAGTCATGTCTCATCCGGCACGTGAATCGCGTCCCACGTGGTCACTCTCTTTTTCTTATTCAGCTCCAAGTGCCTCGCACTTACGTCGGTCGAAAGCTCGTGGCATCTCTCCCAAAAGCGCCAAGAGGTCTCTCGTCCTATCGTCGAAATGACAAACCGGGCGCGACACACAACCAGTGTCAGCTCCTCTTCGGCATCATCTCCGGCTCCGCTTCCTCGAAGTGGCCAAGCTGACGGTCCACCGGTAAGAGATCACCAAGGTCATCGTTTGCACGATCGTGTGCCGCCTCTGACGCGATTATGTAAGCTATATCAGCAGAGGCGGGACAAACTCGTTAGCTCCAATACACGAACTTTTCGCGTTTTGCAAGAATCATTGCCGCTCAATGAGGCTATTGTTCATAAAATTCTATTTTTGTATATATCGTTTCGCGGGGAAATGCGCCAGAGGTATGTTCACCTTGTGCGGTAATACGAAATGAACTTGGCGTAGTCTCACGTGTATATACTCCCTCGTCAGGTTTTAATTTACTACGTGCTGTTATCGATGTCTTTTATCGTACAAGTTATCAGGCCTTGACAGATTCGTAACTTTACAATGCGAAAGTTTCCTTCGATAATAGAATTCTTTAGAGTTAAAAATTTAACTCGCTCACGAGGAAATTTATCATCTCAGATACACAACTCAAAGGTTCTGGACTCTATCAGTTTTCCCGTTACCTCGTTGATATGATATATCGGTCAATGTTTCTTTCGAAACACAGACATTTGTTTACGTAGAATTATACACTGAGAGAACTTTCTCTTAGATTTTACCTTAAAAATTATTGTGGGATAACTTGTATTACGAAGAATTTTATGCTAGCTGTTCTGATTAATATCTACCATAATAAAAATTATTACTATATCTATTACAATAAAATATGAAATATGGCTGATTAATTTTACTAAAATATATAGTAAAATTTCACTAATTTTTCAAAAATGACCAACGTGCTTGGTAATTTTTACTACGTTGTTTGTAAAATATCTTTTGTATATTTCAAAAGTTCCTATTGTTACCGATAATATTTGATTGGTTAGCAAGTTGTCCCACATCTGTGTAGTGAGTTTAACTGAAAATTCTCTCTGTGTAGGATTGTATTTTTTAAGATTCTTCTAATATCTCGCGATATTCGATCAAATTGATTCTTTAATTATCAGATTTCCTGTTTTTCTGCAGGAATTAAATATCTCTTCGTTGCAATTTGTTGTTTTCACGATAATATCTTTGAGCCTTGAGGTCTCCTCAAGGATAAATATGTCAAGCTCTAATACAGAAAATTGTTTGAAATTCCTTGCGAAACGGATGATTCATGTAATATTAAAGATCGTCCGAACGAAAGGCTGTAAATTGCATTTATCGAACGGATTTATCTGCAAGTGTTGAGTTGCTCTAATTCTCCTTCATTAAAGAAGATAAATGTTTCCTCGTGCAATACCTATCAAACGTAAAGATTCCGTTTCCGCGAATTGCTTGAGAGTTCCCTATCTGTAAGAAATAGATGAATTAAAAGAGAATAGGAAGAGAGAGATACTTGGAAAATTGAATGTTTGTTTTTTTCGAGATCGATTGACTAATAGATATTTTTTAATCTCTATTTTCATAGAAAATTAATTTTATTCTTTGAGTTATTAAGTAAAGAGTTAGAATAGTTAGATAATGAAAGACGACTAAAACTTTAAAAAATTACTCATTTTTTTTAGAAAAAATGAAAATGCATTAAAAAATGAGTTTCTATTTGAAATTTAACTGCATCTCTCTCTCTCTCTCTCTCTCTCTTTCTTTCTCATTCTTTCTTTCTTACAGCACTGTTACTTCGCGATCAATAAATGATTCAGTAGATATGCAGAACTACGCAGAGGCAGATTAATCACTAGGGACAGGAAGAGAAATGCAGAAATCTTAAATTCAATCTTTTATTATTTTGCCAGCCAAGCAGTTCGGTTCTTTTCAATCCATCTATGTTCCTCGGGGAATTTCCGCATTTTTTCGAGTCTTACAGTGTTCGTACTGTTCGTCCTTGCGCGCATATCGTTACGTTATCACGTGAACACGTTACAAGTGAGCGGGGAACACAGACTTTTACATAACGCATAATGCGTAAGCATAAGAAAATTGCGTGGACTATTTCTTTATGCACATTGTATATGGACCAATCAATTTTCTTATGCTTACGCATTATGCGTTATGCAAAAGTCTGTGCTCCCCGCTTTACGCCATGCCGAGCCTGCAACGTGCAACCGGCACGGCATCGCGTGTCGGCGACCGTCAGTCTCGGTCGATTCTCGGAGATACCACGAGTTTCCAGTTGACGTCATTGTCGTCATAGTACTGTGACGAAATCGAGAGCACCACGTAATCGCGCGCCTGATTACTAATTAGTCAGTCAAACTTTACCTCCCGGCGTGATACAGCTCCGCCGGCTAAAAAACGCGAACGCGCATCATAAAAGAGCCTAGCGAATCGCGAAATAAGTAGGGGAAAAAAAGGAGTGGTAACGTTATTTACATGAAACGGAGCAAAATTGCCCTCGAGATAATTGCAGAGTGCAGAGTTTCCGAGTTTCGCGAAGCGAGGTATCTTATCGTGTGCTTTTTAAACGTCGAGTTGTTGAATGCCAAAGTGATTTCTCACTAATAATTGTTTTTAATACCGCAACCTGAACACCGAGACGCTTTATTGCGATTGCGGAATAAAATAAATAAAATTATATTCCAACGGAAAATTATCTTACAGCGAAAATCGAAACGTGCCGTCGCACGTGTACGCTGTAACAGTTGCAAATGTCGAGCATTTTTTCGACCTTGGACCTCGCGTGTAACGATTACACACACCTATCGCATATAGACGCGATCATAAAATTCATTCGCACACCGCGTGGCTGCAACTCACCGGATTCAGCTGTCGCGTCACATTTTCAGAGCAAATTTTCAGAGAAAATTACGGTAAATCGATTGCAAATCGATTGCGAAAACGTAATCGTGAGTGTACCGATGAAACACTGATGTAAACGTCGGCGAAACAAGGACTCGCAGCTCGTCCACGCCGATAGAAGGATTTCGGCAAACAAAGAGAAAGAGAGAGAGAGCAAGGTTCTAGCGTGGGTCCAGCTGAGCGTTAGAACTCCACTTGCCACCTTCGATCGATTTCCGCTCTCAATGCCGGAAGTCGGTTCACGGAACTGCACGCGCGAGATCTCGGGATAATTAACGGATATGCACGTTCGCGAGAGGAACTTCCACGGTCGCGTCGTTTCGCGAACGATTACCATCCAGCACACCAGCCAGTATAATACTGTACTGACTTGAGGCAACGGCAACAGCCGCCGCAGCACGCCATCCCCTACACTCTCCACCTCGGGTCTCGGATCCATCCCCTCCGTCGGCCCGTGTTTCCGCATGAGTCAGTGGTGCTCACAGCTGAGCTGCACGAGCTGCGGTATTGCTCATTACCTTTGCAAAACGTTCGCTGCGGTGCATACCAGTCGCTCGCGAACACTCGGCTTTGGCTGCGGTCCACTTGACGCTACAAATGCTTCGAAGCATTCCTCTTCTCTTTTCTTTCAATGAAGAAAGATGGAGAAGAAGAACGCTCTGAAGCATTTGTAGCGTCAAGTGGACCGCAGCCTTTCTCGGCGTATAATTCCGTTTACCGTTATCGATTATCCCGCGAGAGATCGTGCGAACGTAAAGTAAAATCAATCCCGCGCAGTTCTCGAGACTTCTAAAATTGCAAATATTTCAAAATCTCTCTATCTTTAAAATTTCTATATTCGATTATTGATAGACGTCTTTTCAGCTTTCATCTGCTTTTATTTAAAAAAATAGCTCCGTACACACTGATGGGGACTGTAAACGTATACGCGAAGAAATGTTCTTGTTTGTTTTCACTCAGCTGCTAAATTCGTCGGTGGGTGAAATTCTACCGAGTATATACGTTACACCCGTGTACATTAGTTGCAAACAGGGACGATGAAACGGCGATGGGTTAGCAGAAACGAAAATGCAAACGAGTTGACGGGTTGATTTCTCGCTTTTTAATACTCTCCTTACATCGGCAAACGCACACAACAATAATCCGATCATTATCAAAATACTATAGATAGCACAACAGCGTGTTATCGGTATAACATTCAATATGCATTATCCAAATTAAAATTTCTATATTGTTATCTCGCAATATTTTTCTCTGTCTATATTACAACAGGTAGTAACACAACAGTAGGTATGACAAAGCTCGTGTGTATCTCTTTATACATCATACATAATTTATATGAGGCATTCCGTTGGTCTTCCGGATCGACACCGGAAATAGGAGAAGCTCGACGCGGTGGTCACGGGTTATTTAAGACGCGTCCGCGTCTGCTTCCCGCTATTTACTCTACGAATATATGACGCGACGTTTAAAATGACAACTAAAAACTTACTTAAAAAATAAATCGGTTTTAATATATAAAATCTATTTCTCGCAGCGGTTATAAAATATATCTCGCGGAATATCATATATATATATATACTTTGCACTCTTTATACAACATCTTTGTACACTTATTTTCCAAGGTATATGAAGCGAGCTAGAACTCGCGGTATACATGTCCATCTGTCTCTAACGTTGGTCTTCCACGGCCTGCTCGAAAGAAGAAGTCGCGGATACGCGTTCGAGTGAAGTTCTAGGTCGAAGAAAAAAAATAAAGAGGAAAACACTTGAAAAGTAGCGCAGCCGTAGACTTTCACTCGAATCTCCGGTCTGCCTCAATGCAGTTACAGCACACACACACAGTCTTGGTCCCTAGAAGTCACAGCCATTAAATGCAACGAACGATCTAAGATTTAAGGCCACTCGATTGTAAATCAGCCGCGATAACTCCAACTCGATAATGGCAATGTAACGTTAGCGTTATCGCGATATCGGCAACGAGGATGCCCCTACGGGCGAGCGATGACGCGCATTGCATTTCGAACGACGAAGTTTCGACGTTCTCTTTAATAATTTATATTACGCGATTCGGTGGTAACGAACGCGAATTTTCACGCCCGATAGCACCAACCATGATTAACTAGCTTTCCTCTCGTATCTACATCATTAGAGCTACGATCTACAGGGGGCTAGGGAATCGTCAACCAGGAATAATTAATATAGTTATTAGACAGGATTGTCAATGCGAACGACTTTCGGAGATCAGAAGACTCTCCTCTAATCGATGAAGGAACGCTTTCGAGGATCGCAACAGCGAAGAGTTGTTCCCTATTTTTCGGCGATTGGTTTGGTTAATGAGATGGACACGCTTCATCTCTATCTGATTGTGTGTTCTGTCATGCGACGATAGTCGTGAGAGCGTTGCTTTTGCTTCTGTAGCTGCCGGGTCTGCAATGAATGATACATGGTACTCGGAAGAACAAACACTGTGGAACTCATGGGTATTATTTAGAGCCATTAGATAGCGATGGGTGTAACTGGCGATATACCTGATAGTAGCATGTTGCGAGGAACGCGACCATCCAGCGATAAAGTTGACTTCGCCTCTTTGACTGCGATTACGCTGCCGACGATCTTGACTATCACTTTTCGCAGCGATTCGTCGCGAGACAACGTGGATAGCATCTGGTGCGACAGTGGACTGTATCGCCCTATATACTAATCTGTGATTATAAAAAAGAATGCTGTTGAATTTGATATTTGTTGAAATTAACTGAATTATTAGTCTATTGACAAAGAAATAGCATATTTAGATTTATATGAAATCATAATTTAATTAAAAATTATATTAATATATTTAATATAATTATAATTCACTCATATATTCACTTAGGATTATAAATGGAGTTTAGAATAAATGAATTGAAAAAGAAATTAAATTACAAATCGATTAAATAAAAAAAAAACTGTAAACCCAGCAGTTTTGTCTTTGCAGATTCGAATTAATATCGCTCATACAATTACTATAATTGTATAAGGAAAGCTTACCTAGGCATTAAGGCAACAACAGAAGTAAGTCCCACTGTCAGCCAGTACGTGAAATGTGTAAAGGCCATTTCCATTACCCAGAAGGATCCAGGCAGGCCCATGCAATTGACGCAAACGGCATTGTAAAATAGGCAAAATCCGTAGAAAATGCCTAAAGAACCGAAGATGGCACCAACATGGATTATAGTCTGAAATAAACAACGTTACATATAATACCCATGACAACATATTTCTCTTCTCTCTAACGTAGTTACAATCTTTATTTCTTCTTCCTTACCCAAGATCTAGTTTCTATAGCAGCATGAGCCAGCATAACGACGATACACGCTGACATAATAGTCGTCCCGAATTCCCATATGTCGATAATCGAATCGTCATAAACCTGAAAAATAACGGGTGTTTATCGTATACCGTGACGATCTTTTCTAACGGGTCCAAAATGTTGCACCAACCTCTTTGGTAATAAAAAAGATGACGACACTTTGGTAAAGAGCGTCAATGATCGTAAGCCAAAACGAATGCGACTGATACACTAGTCCCAGGCGTCCTCTCGTATATAATTCTGGCGCTGAAAGTAATACGCGAGCCTTGGCGACTCGATCGTAAATACCCAAGGCGAGAGGCGGCAGCGAGGTGAACAGCAAGTTGTATAGCATTAAATATATTTGGTCTATCATCACGGCACCGGAAAAGCCGCAAAACAGCTGCAAGAGAAGAGAGGGAAAACGTATTACGTATTATTATAAATATCTCTACTTGAAGGATCGATAAATTTGCATTCAGGGAACTGTTTTACGTTTTTCTCTTTACAATCATTCGATACTTACTTGAAACCAGAATATGAGGAAGACAAAGGTGGCGTTTTTGTAAAAGAAATATAAAATCATTCTGGCGAGACGATCGTAACACCAGTGCCCGTGTAGAAGGAGGAGCCGGCTGAGCATAGAAAACCGAGAAATCGCGAAATCCGCTGCCATTACCGCTTGCGTGCCTTCTTGCCCCGAGATACCGACGCCCACGTCCGCGGTCTGTATCATGCTAACGTCGTTCGCGCCGTCGCCGATTGCCAGTGTTCTCATTCCCAATTGCTTTTTAACGATGCGGACTATGTATGCCTGCAACGTAAAACAAATTATATTACTCTTCCTCGCGTTATCGCTCCAGTCATTAGTTCGCGGCTAAAGTCTGTTTTAATGTTATTATACTATTGTCAACGCGTTACCTTTTGCAGCGGCGTGGCGCGGCAGGCTAAGACGCTTGAACACATTTTCGTGAGTTCGAGGAACGGCCCAATCAGGCCCGATCGCGGATCTAGGATCACGGTCAACGTTTTACCGTCCACGACAAGCGCGCGCTGCCGTGGCCACGGGCTGCCAATTCTGTGCGCGTCTCTCTCGGCGGAGTCGCGATTGTACATGTCGGCAGGATCCGTGATGCCCATCATATCCGGCTGCGGATGACCGTTATTTACGTTCTCTTTGCGCGCTGACTCCAGGTAGCCGTGTATAAGCGCCTCGGCCACAGACTTCGATCTCGCCTGCAGCTGCAGCAGCTGCATAGCGGGCGAGAAGAGCTGCGCCGAGTACGCCACGTTCACCGCGGTCTCCGGTTTATCCCCTGAAACGGAAAACGTGCAGAATGACGTAGAACTCGCATTAACGCGCGCTAATTACGCTCAAGAACACGGACTGGTTCCATCCGAGGGATGTTTACTTTTCATTGGCTTTCGATACGTACGCCTCCGTAATTTTTTTTATCCGGTCTTTATATAACGACACTTATGTAATAATGGATAGATGAAACGCTGATGGCTATGTGGTGGAAATGCATTTGCGATTCAATGCGAAACGCCTCCTTTATCTCTCTCTAAGATGATCGCACTAAAAATAGTGCTTGCCGATGTTAAACCGGTTTGTCCGTGCGGCTGCACGCCGGTTCGCGAGTGAGCGATTTTCTACGAACCTGTCAGAACCCACACGACGATCCCGGCGGCGACCAGGGCGGCCATTGTCTCGGGCACGCCGGCTTGGAGCTTGTCTTCGATCCCGGTCACACCCAATAACGTCAAATGCGACTCCAGCATCGCGTACGAGTCGCGTATGCGACGCTCGCGATTCTCCGTCGCCAATTCCGCCTCGTCGTGCTTCTGCCGCCACGTCTCGTACTCCTGCGCCGTCAGCGTTTTCTTCGCCATCACCAGGGTGCGCAAACCTTGACGCGCGTACGATTGTAGATACTGTTGGATACTCGTCGAGGCGATGACGTTCTCGTCGCTCGACAAGAGCGCCGGCAGCATCGTCGTGTCAGCGCCCTTGCTGTACAGCACTATC